CAAAGTCAAACTCTGTGCATCACTTCGACTTAGACATATATATTTTGTGTAGGTTTAGGCAAAAAAAAAAAAAATACTTGGTCAAGAGTTCTGAACTCAGACTTATAATTAAGAATCTGTATGATTCACAAACAGGTCTGAAAATTATGGGAACATAGCAACAAATGATTTATGAATGGAAATTTTCTGCTTCACTGCAAAACTAAATTCCGTTTTGTAAACACTACACTAAATAACAATAAAGTTTGTCTAAGTCTTCTATGAATATGTTGGCACAGAGTCTGTACTTCTGTTTATGTCAGAGCTCAAAGATGAGAGAATATTGGCACATTAGTCAACATTTTGAAGATGTTTTAATCTTAAGTGTTGTGTCAAAAGAATCTTTATAACATCACCAGATATGACAGGTAAAATCTAAAATTAATTGGCTTAATTTGAAGAGCATGATGTGGGTTAATGTGAAGCCCACCCCTGTATTCTGCCTAATGTGTTTCTAATGGACAAATTCTGAAGTTGAGGCTATACGGTTCAACGTTTTTGTTTGTCATTGCAGGGCTAAAATATGTATATAAATGTCTGAAAACACAAAACGGTCACTATTGAATTAAATGGAAATGAACTTTTTAGACACCATTTTCTAGTGTTGTACAACTACTGTACAGATTCTCACTGGGGACTTTCAGCTAAACAAAGCAAATGCCTAATTTTTCCACAGATATTTTAGACAAGCAGCATTCTATACATCATGGAAATAAGTGACCTAGAGAGGCACTGATCCAATACCAGGATCAGATATACTGATGAATGGAACAAATCCAGCTTTCTGATCAGGTCGTTTCTTTTTTTATTTTATTTTTTGTCATACACATAGAGTTACACCGAGCTACAGTGAGTATCAGGGATATTCAGTTTTTTATAAAACATTTCCAAATAAACAATTTATTTTTTTCTGCTAATACACTGTTTGTAAATAACATTAAGCACATTTATAACTTTGTTAATATTTTACCTTATTTAATTATGTTTATGTCAAGCCTAATGGTATACGGTTTATAAATTCAAAAGTGGTATTGAGTAGCTGCCTGACACACTCAGCTCAGGTATCAGTATTGGATTTGTTTAGAAAAAACTGAAGTGGTGGATCTCTATTCCATATAGATTTTATTGTGTAATATTTATGTATTATTTTATCATAAAAAACAATTGAGGAAAATCCTCTTTTCAACTGAGATGATGTACATCCATTACAATAAAATACAAAGCAATATAAAAAAAAACAGCAATGAGCAATGATGGGCAAACCTGGCAAAGACGCTCTGTATCAAAGGAGTCCAGGGGCCATTGGCCACAGTTTATTAATGTTTGGCGAAACCTTAATCTAATTGTAGGATTATATAATTTAACCTACCGGTTTAGGCTTAGGTTGTTGAAGCAGTTGAATACTTTAATTTTGGCAAAGTTAATGATGACAAATTACAATTTTCTCATAATAAAATATGTTCGGCACAACCAAAAATATTAGTCCATTAGTAAACAATTTTAATTTCTATTTTTTTCTGTAATTTCGATATCAATAGAACCATATATTCACATTGAGTTTCACTTTAAAAATACTTCTTTGATCCCAAATAATCTTTGAATTTGTTCATAAAGGATGACCTAAATCCTGGTCAGATTGATGTGATTGTTTTCTGTTGAGCACAAAAGAATTTAGAAATAAAGCTGGTAAATGAAACCTAGGCAGAAGTTCAACTGCAGAAACTGAATTACTTACACTCATCCACCACCAACATGCAAATCAGCTTTGAACCACTCCTCCACAAAGCCCAATCAGCATCCAGCTTTCATCTTAAAAGGTCTCCAAATCCACAACTCAGTGTGCTACCCAGCCCAAACTCAGGCAGTGGTTGCGCTATGTCTGACCTGATTCAACCCACCTCCATCCCCTTCTCCACCATCGTAGCTAAAGCTCATCTGATTTTTCTATGGTGCTTCTTCTACTTCGTCCCCATCTGAGTATCATTCCTCCCCGACTCTTACTGCGTTCCCTGTCTCATCTCAACCAGTCTGGCAGAAGACCGCCATTCTTGACCCTGAATCTGCCAGAGGTGTCTTCCTTAAGGGGAGTTTTTCCTCTCCACTGTTGCTTAATGCTTGCTCATCATTGACAGGTTCAAGCATTCTGGGCTTATCCAAGCTGGACTTCCATCTTGCCAGGTCCCTGAGTGAAGGGAGTATCAGCTCACACAGTCTACTGGATCTCACCAATACAGCTCAAGCACTACTGGTCTCGCCAACTAGCAGTCTATAAACCGAACCAACTTCATCTCTCTCCTCTCCACCACCAGTTTCAGGCCTGGTGGAGGAAACATCCCTGTTCTTACCGCTTATGCAATGTCAAAGCTAAATTCAGCACTAATGTTTCCTGCTGAGGTCTGAGCGCTAAAGACTTAAGTAATTGTGTCAATAAAAATCTTCTAATTGTCTTTTTCTTTCCTTGTGAGTTTTTAAGATTGAAATAGTATCTACTATTATGAGAGTCATGCACAGCTCAGCATCTTTACTATTTCCTATATGTGTCACTGCCAAATCTTGTGTAGAGGTAGCGGCCTTACCTGTCAACACCTCTGCACAAACTCAGGTGTTAACACATAACTATGGATTTATTGACTCCAGCATTCACATTCCAAACATTATGTCCGTCAGCTAAAGGCAGACCATCATTCAACCTGACATCCACTTCCTTGTCATGACACAACCAACTCATTACGCTGCACTGTCAAACTTATCCTGCTGTTTCCTGTTTTAAAGCAGAGCTTACATTTCAATTCTATCTCTTTGCAAACCAGTATCATGATGTTAGAGAAGGAAACATGTTTTGTTTCCTTTTTGTTTTGTGGTATAACAAAATATTTATATGGTCATTTATCTATTCTTGAACTACCTTAAAGTGACTTCTTTTATACAATACATTATCAATCTGAAGGGTCATGTGTTAATTCTCAGGAAGTGATAGCTCTTGAGATTATGGTTCACACCTGAGGACTTCTTAGCCTAGGAGACACATTGGTCACATTGGGGATGCAAAGAAAAACATTAGCTGTTATTGGTAAGCATGATTTCTATGGCCTGTGTACATGATCTGTTCTTTAGCAATGTGCAAACTCGCATCTGATTCATAACTAAATTACAAAACAACAAAAATGTCAAGGAATCTGTATTCAATTGTCCCATCTCAATATCTATTAGTTTTTACCCACACAAAAAAAGGTTTATTATTTAGGGATTTCCCAAAAATATGATGGATGGATGGATGGATGGATGGATGGATGGATGGATGGATGGATG